TGCGAGAAAAGCAGCATTTCAGAGGTTAAAACCCAAAACGTGCTGATTTTCTTTAACAGAAAGCATGAAAACCGCCAAATGATAGAAGCTTATGACAGTCAGTTCTGCATCACCTTGAGAGGCAATCACTTCAAAGCATTCTGTGCTGTGATCACCAAGCAGGAGATGTGAATGGCACACGTCTGTCCCTCTGGCATAGCCACAGCCCCATGGCTGTGCAGGGTTAGGTTAGGCTGGCTGACTCGCCAGATAATAAAAACTGGATGACCTTTAAAGTCATCCCTTCAACTCTCAGGATTTTATGATGTTATAACAACACCGGGCCGACTGCAGGTTTTCCTTCCGAGCTCTCAGCGCCCTGACATCTTGCCAGCCAAGTGGCACAAAGGTGATGCCGTTGGTGAGGAAAATCCTCCACAACTGGTTGTTTGTCGCGGGGACAGCTTGTCCCTGTTGCAGAGAGTGGGCACTGGTGCACTTGCTTGTTTTCCTTGAGCACACACAGTGAGACTCCCTGCCACTACAGCGTGTGGGGCAGTGCTGAGTGCCAGGGCTTCCGGAGTTCTGTCTTTGGGTTTCTCTGTGCTGTGAGAGAGGTTCTAATCTATGAGAAAGATCAGAAAAAGAGTTGAGCTGAAGGTAGGAAAAACAAAAGTAGCGATCGTTACCCCTTCAAAGCAAGGTTATGAAAGCTACAGCCGTGGTAGATGGAAAATGTTTTGTCATCTGTTAAGCAGCTCTTGTGTCACACTGATCAGAGAAAACAGAGATGAGTCTGAAAAATGTCGTTTTTCACATGGGTTGTTTCCTTCATTTTACAAATGGTGATGTAGGTGTAAAAACCATGCTGAGTTCCAGGGGGTGTATTTCATAGCTGTGTGGTGTACCAGTCAGGCTGTGCACGTTTTATTTACTAGGCAGCATATTGCATGAGAACATAGCAGTGTTTGCTGCTTGAGATGCTAATGGCATCCCAAAGCCTCAGAGTGCGTTTGCTTGTGTCTTTAATGGATGATTTATCTTTGAATTTAGCATTGAAGTATTATTTTTTAAGGAGAGCTATATTCAGTAACAAGATTAATGAGCTTGAAAGATGATGAAAAGACTCTGTGTTCAATTCATCCTCGTCTCCCAGGAAAGCAGACTTTGAAGTTTAGCTGACTTGTATGCTAAAAATATCTGGCTATGTCAATGGCACACCTTCATCAACATTTGGGAGAAGTGGGGTGGGATGGGGAGGAGAAGTGCTGTGAGGCGTATTGATTGTTTTGCTTGTCACATATGCCTCAAATCACTAATCGTGGAGCACCATCCCTCCACTATGCTTATACAGTAGTTTTTTGTCACATGTACCCTAAATCACTGCGAGATACAGTAATTAGAGATTAAACTTCTAGCAGTGTAATGCCTCTAAACAAAGCGCATTTTGAATGAATAGAGTAAAGAAATAAATACTCTATTGCAAGTTATATTAGAAGTCTGTTTAGTGGCACCATTTATCCACGTTTTTACCATGCCTTCCTCTAGACATCTCTAGATATAATTGGGGTTTGAAGGGTGAAGACATTTGATCTCAAAGTTTTGGATCTCAGGATTGTTTTGCAGTGCAGCCCCTTGATATCCTGGGTTACCTGTTGCCTTGGCAGTAACTGTCTGTGTGCTTTCTATCAGCTGCAATACAGCAAACCAGAGCTGCTAGCAGGCCTGGCCCTCACCTGCCTCTGACAGCAAGAAGACTATTGATTTTCAAGGAAATACGTTAGGTGTTCAAGGAGCATCCCTCAAAAAAAAAACAGCATATGAACATTGTCTCATTTTTATACCACAGGGTCCTCATTGATGGGGCCTACTGCATTGCCCCAGAGGTGAAAAATGTGCATTTGGACGTAACACTGGATGCTTTGGCTGCTAGTTGTATGCCACGGTTTGTCCTTTCACTGCTATGTATTTATGTTTTGGCAGCAGCTTAAATCAAACACTGCCTCTTTGAGGGGCTGAAGGGTGCATATCTGAGACTTGAAATAGCTGAAGTATTAGAGAAGTCTTTCTGCCCGTTCCTTGGGTTGGAATAACTCAAAGCACGCTCATGAATTGTGTGGTGGTTTTTATTATTATTTTTATATGTGTGTATATATGTACATTTCCTTTAACAAACATCAACAGAAATTCTGATCTCAAAATTGCAGGGTTGTTAAATCTAGCATTTTTTTCAACTTCAATCTTGCTTCCACTTCTTGTTTTTAGCTAGTCAGAAGGCTTATTAGTCCTGAGCCTCTTTGCATGGCTTTTCTAATTCAGCTTTTGGAGTCTAAAAAGACACATTTAGCTTTCTAGGAGCTCTGCAGACTTAGGAAAGGAACTTTGGGGTTTCTTTAATGGTCTTCATGGAAACACTAGAAGATGCAGTGCAGAAGAAAAAACTAATTTGTTACAGATTGAGGCAAGATCTGAAGATAGAAGTTCATTGAAAACATAAGTGGGATTAGTGTCTGATTTTTTTACTTGAAAAATGGGAATTGAGGGTGACAGCAACAACTATTCATGTTTCGTGTGAACTCTGCTGTATTTTAATTCCTTAATGCCAGTCATTCTGCATTTGAAAATTCAATGTTTTAAATTTGAATTGCAGCAGTACTGTCAGATTCACTGCCTCCTTGCTTGACACACCCTCAACTGGAAAAAAAAAAGCTATATAAATCCTAGTTCTTTGAGAAAAATGATATTTGAAATTGCTGTGATATCACATGTTTACAAAGAGGCAGTCCATAGGTTGCCTAAACCAGCTTTGATGTCGATATAGTTTTGACTTTTCAGCACCTAGATTTTGTAAAACTACAGCTCATAAGAGGCATGAAGGAGGCACCACTCCACTGAGGAACAGAAATACAGTCTTGTTGACACCATTTTGGATCCCTCTGGGGTTTGTAGTGCCCACGGGCTGCCCAGCCTTTTTGTGCTTCAAGAGCAAATCCACCCTTCTGCTTGTATCTGCTTCTTCTGGCTCTGGGATGCTTGATATCACTGAGTCAGCCCTGGGGTGGAGGCATCGTGCTTTCCAAAGGGCAAGGCTACCTCCAGAGCATTGCTTTCAGGTCAGTTATTATTAACAATTGCAACAATACACATTTTCCTCTGCCTTAGAAACATGCGCTGCCATTTTCATTGTGTTCTCACTTGGTTTGGCATCACGGTCTTGGACTGCATGGCCGATCTTGATACTATGTGTGTAAATATTTCCACATCCCTTCATTCCTTGAAACAAAGTCTGTCCTATTAAGTTTTTCATTTGGCAAGAGGCAAAAGTGCAACTGGAATCAGCTGCCTGCAATTTTCCCCTTTTTAAGCACTTTCCTTCTCATTTGTGTCAAATGATATCTGGAAAAATAAACATTAAGAGCGCTGTATAAAGTTTCCTGAAGCCTTCCCTGTGAATTAATCATGCTTGGAATGATTTAGCAGTGCCCCACAGCTATTTTGAGACAGTGTGAAGTAGTGATGGAGCATCCTGGGCATCGGCGTAGGTGTCTAGGCAGTGAGCACAGAGCTGGCTCTTTTCTGCAGGGGAGACCCTGGTGCTTGGGATTTGCTGTGTATTGGCTAGTCTGGCATGGTACTGAGTGCCCTGGCTGCTGTTGCAGTTAGTGAGGATGGGCAGCTCTGGATGAAGGCTTGCCAAACTGCAGATGTTGCTGGCATTCCCTCGGTGCTGGACTTAGCATCAGTGCAGAGGTGAATCTGAACTTTTGTACTTATCCAAAACCAAGTGAAGGGGTTGATGTCAGCAAGCTGAGTTTCTCTTGGTGTGAAACAATCCTGTGTGTGACCTGGCAGCCATAGGTGGCCTTCAGGGTCCAGAAGCTCGAGTCTCCTGGGTGCTCAAGCAGTCAAGTGAAAGTATTTAGAAGGTTTCCAGGCAGTCAGGCTTGCCCTTAGAATTACAGTCTGATGCATAGATTTTTACCGTCCTCTGCTAATAAGAGTGTTTATGTTAATGTGCAGTTAACATAACAAATTGGGAATGAATCTCCCTGCTGTCCTCACTTGACTGCTTTGTACATGAACCGTATGCAGAGCATCCAGAGAACTAGGTTGCTTTTAGACCAGATGAAGCTCCAGGATAGGCTCCAGGACCCTGCAGTGCTTCAGCTGCTGAAGGGCACATTAATGGTTATCCAAAGCCGGGCTCTCCAGATCCTGAGTAATGTGAATGTGAGGTCCTTGGCATTACCTGTTTTGCTCTTCAGATTTACTTCTCTGGGCCTCGTTACTTGCTAACATCAGCACGGCCAACGTCTCTGACATGAATTTGATGGTTTCTTCTGGGTACAGCACTGGTCAGGCTTGTTTGGTTACTTTTGGGTGGAATCCAGCCTGCTCCGTATCAGGTCAGTCTGCTGTGGCTCTGCAAACAGGCAGAATTACACTTGGAGAAAAATGAGTAAAGGAAAACCCTTCGGCTGATCCCTCCCCAGGGAAAGGTTGGATGTGATCATTATCCCTTTTTATGAGCTTAATTTGGAAAGTTAATTTTCACTGGTCTTTTATTTCCTGGCTTAAGGCATTTGACACAGCTCTGCAGAACTGCAAAAAGAAAAATACAAGGAATAGTTTCTACTGACATTGTTTTTTTAAAACTTCTTTTGGCTGCATACATTATGTTGCATCCTTAATGGAATTGGATGGGAAATAATCTTCGCTGTTTCAGACTTACCTCATCATAAGAAATTTTCAGGTAAGAAAACATTAATCTTAATGATGTGAGTAAACAAAAACTGTGTATTACAGAAACAGAATTGTTTCGAAACTTGAAACATTAATAATTCCCCAGTAGTAGCGCTCCATCATTCCTCTATAAATAATACTAAAACATGCAAATGGAAAATAATTTTTAAACCAAACCTCAAAACAATAACTATTAATCTAGACAGATTTACCAGCTTGGAAAGTTTCTGCTATTTTTTTCTTCTTCTTTTTTTTTTTTTTCTTTCTTTTTTTTTTTTTTTTTAAGCAGAAATGGTACTGCAATGACTAGAAAGGGTTAATTGATCTGTTTATAGCATGACTTTCACAGTGCTGTCTGCTCCTAGACAAAACAAGTACAAAATATTAGAACAAATCTTCATTTTTGGTTTCCAGAACATCATCTCTCTGTTTCTGGATGTTTTTTGCAGGTGGTGTTTAAGGACTCTGAACACTTGCCTGGTGTTTCTGGGTGGAGGGCTTGATGGATCATAGGGATTTTGCCGAGGTCTGCTGGGTGTGTCCTCTTGTGAATGAACTCTGCACCATAGTGAGTGGGAGATGCTTCCTGGAAGCATTTAGGCTGTCTGTCTAGATGACTTATTTGAAAGGCAGATATGCCAGGGTATGTGTATCTGCCTAGTAGATCCTGCCTAGTAGTCCAAAATGTGACAATCTCAAAGATTTCCAACTTTAAAATTCATTATCAGATTATATTCTGCAGTCTTCCAGTTCAGTGAGCAAGCCAGGCTGGAGAACTGGGAGGGAAAAAGGGGAAAGGAAAATATTCCTTTAGATCAGTTTTGTTGGATTATTGACGTAATAATAAATCAGTAGCTATCTCAGGCCAAGAGAACAATTCAGCTGCTGGCTTTCATGCATATTTGCTCCTTCGACAGGCCTAGGTCGACTTGAGCAATTTCTCCATTTGTGGTTTCTTGTTCAAGTGTCGTTTGACACTGGGATGCAGATAGGGCAGGAATGGGGAAAGCAAGGAGGCAAGGGAACGAAACCAGGACATTTGAGGACCCCTTGCTCCCAACATTTCTCAGATGATTTCCATTCTTGTTTTCATGTTCACACATACTGTTGTGTTTTTTTGTTTGTTTGTTTGTTGTTTTTTTTTTCCCCAAGTACAGTTGAGCAGAAAAGATTTAATTATTAACTCTTGTGCCTAGCTTAAGTGGCATTATAAACTACTGAAAGTAGGTTTTTCCTGTTATCAGTGCAAGGGAGTGTTAAAGAATAGTACAATATTGACTTTGTGTATCTCATGTGTGCACAGCGAGAGCAGCTTCAGACCACTGAAGGTTTGCAGGAAGTATCTGCACCATCAGTTTCCAGCTGGTAGACCAATGATTTATTTATTTGCAGGAGAGATGTTTTTAGAATTACTTTGTTCACTCGAAAATACTGCTGTTTCTTAGTTTAATTTATCTTACATTTATATCTCTTACACTACAGGGTTTCTGGAAATGTTTTACAGTGTGTGCTGTAACGAAGATGAGGAAAAACAAGTGTAGACAAATGATTTGGAGACAGCAACTGGGAACCTAAAGGACTTACTCTTTGATTTACATCCAGTTTCTGATGGCACGATGTTTTTACATCCACAGTGAGTTGTAGGCACTGTTAGCACCCACAGCTGTTTATGCCTTTGTGTCTATGTTTGTGTTCATGCTAATTCCCTTGAGGCAAAAATTTGTGGTCTGTAGTTGCCACAGCAACAATAACACTACACTCTGTTTTCATTTTTTTTTTTTTTTTTTGCCTGTTTTGTACCACTATGCTAAAAGTGTAGGCATATTGCTGTGGTATGTTGTGAAATATAATAGACTGCTAAGAGGAAACATTTGCTTATCTTTTTATTTGGAGTATGTAGCTTTGATGTAGTGTTACCTTTCTTGCTGCTTCTCCACTAGGATACTCATTCCTGACTGCAACCCTGCAGTTGCAGAGAAGAAATTGGGCTCAGCAGTTTGGAAAAAGAAAGTGATAGAAAGATTCTGCTGGTGCTAAACAGCAAATAAAATCAGTTTTAGAACCAGGAATGGTCCAGGGTAGAAGGGAAATCGTAATGCAACTATGTTTTTGTCTTGTAGCTGTACAAGTCAGTTGAAGGATGATTGTAGGTATTCTTTGCCATGAAACAAAAAGAAAAATGTGAACAAAGTAAAGAGGGGAAAAAAAATACAAGGTACATTTCTTTTCTTTAACATGCAAAAGCAAAGTGAAGGATCTGGACTGTTTGCTTTAGAAGTATGACTGTTAAAAAGGATCATACTGAAAGTGTGCGTGTGCAGTATAGGGGAAATAGATCTAGGGCTTCTTTCTTTCCATCCCCCAGAGTTTTTTTGCATGAGGAGAAAGTCCTGATAATGCTGAAGGCTGCAGATTCAACAGGGATTAAAATGATTTTTCATGCAGTCCAAAATTGGTCAGTGAAACTAATTTCAACAGGATGCTGCTGAGGCCAAGAACTTGCCCAGAGCCAGTGAGGACTTGGATGTTTATACAAAAAAACACGAGTATCCAGAGTGAAATAGCTCAAAAGGGAAATCTTTTATTTTACAGGCTGTTTTTAGGGTTTGTCCCCTCTGTGCTGACTGCCTTCTGGCTGACGCCTTTGGATATACTAAGCTGCAGCTGTCAGCCCAGAGCATGGCTGCTGCCAGTAGGGGCAGGTGTCTGCCACGGCCCTCTTCCTCTCCTGGGGCCTGACTCAACGCTGGGTTGGGAAGTTTTGGTAGTAGGTGGGTGACGGGAGCGGATGATCTTGGAGGTCTTTTCCAACTTTGGTCAATCTGTGATTCTATGCTGAGCGTTTCCTCTCAGCTTTGGTCAGGCTGCACATCTTTTACACTGTATTTGTGTTTAATGGTCTGTTCTCTCTGATGTGGTGAGGCAGGTTTGTGGTGGAGTCTCCCTTCGTCTTTTGATGGGGCTCTGACATGCCAATCATCAGTCTGTCATCTAACTGCTTATCAGTCATAAATTTGTCATGTGCCGTTACCTCGACTGCTCGTCTGTCTCAGTTGGTTTTCTTGTTTTTCTGACTTAGATGGAGTTGAGCCAGGCTTTAAATTAGACTTCAGTGCTTAAATAATTATGAAGAGAAAATTTGTTCTATATCTGCCTCCCCTTTTTTTCTTTTTTCTTCTCAAACACTTCATTTTTTTGGTGTGATCACAAATAAGGGCAATATATCACACTGGTTTAGGAGACCCTAAATGGCAGGTGTGCCTCTGTTTCCTGTGTCTAGAATCAGTTCTCTGCAATTACTTTGACTGCTTCTGCATACAGACCTCATTTACTTTCTGGCTGTGTCCTAGAGAAGCTTCAAGCCATCAATGGGGACTGATGTCCCTGTCATCCCACTCCAAGGCTCCTTTCCCAGTATCCAGCATAAAGGATATGTTTTGGTCCTTCCCAGCATCAGGAAAACTGATAGAATCATGGAATTGTTCAGTTTGGAAAACACCTTAAAGATCAAGTCCAACCACGACCTCCCCATACTGTGCTGACTCTAACAACCCACTGCTAAATCATAGGAAAAATTCCATCTGTATTTTAAGAGAGCTTAAGTTTGCTTTAAAAAAATAAATAAATAAAAATCAAGCTTGAAATATTTTTTAGAGTGTTTCTGAGATGGCCAGGTATTAGTAGTACAAAATCTTTTGATAAATGGAAATAGGTTTTGCAGGTTAGCTGTGCATATCATTCATTGTACTAGTTCTTTCAAAGCATTTTTTTAGGCTTTACATTTAAAGGGCTTACTTGAAAGGGAACTTAGAGTTATTTGTGTAACCTACACGTCTGCTGAATTTCTTTCCCCCAGCTACGTTCAAGTTTACAGTATAGCTTGAGAAGAGCTGGTTTCAAGATTCTGGAGTTCAGTTGCTGTACTTTTTTCTTGGATGATCAGTTGCTTGTTACTGCATAATGAGAGCATCACTGGAGTAACTCTGAGATGTAAGGGCATAATTTTTTCCCCCCCAAAAAAATCCTAAGGGGGAAAAGGTGTGGCTGGCTCCTGTTGTCTAATGATTGCTCTCTTTTGCATTGGAAATCAAGTTACATTTCTTCTATTGCTTACTCAGAAGCATGGCAAAAATATAATACTGTGGGTAAGTAATATAAATGTGGGTGTGGTTGTTTTGTTGTTTTTTTTTCCCTCCTGATATCACAGATATCTTTGGAAAATTTCAGTCTTAGAAACTAAAGTTCTGCTGAATTATATATATAGAAGTATGGGCCCCTGGTGGGGATGTGTAAAAGAGACAGCATGTTTTTAGTGAGACAGGGATTTTTTTTTTCCTTAAATGTAGCATAGTGTAAAAGAAGTCAATGAAATATAATTTATAGCAAAGTCCAAGTTTCTCTTTTTTATTGTTTACATTTCTTACTCATCAATTGACACTTGCTTTTGCTGTGTGTTTTCCTGTTAGTTTTTGTTGTGTTTTGGTTGCTAAGTTTGAAAACTATAAACTTTTTTTTTTTTTTTTTGTGGAGGAGAGCCCCTGGAATTCATTCAGGGCACAATGTTTCAGCAAAGCACTAATGATTTCCAGACAGTTTGGTTTAGTGACAGTTGAGATGTTTGACTTGCAGGAAGTCCTGAATGCTTATTACTTTTAAGTTGCTTGTTTTCTGTAGTGTCCAAAGTCGAGCACCTAAAATTAGACATGTTCCAAAGTTCAGCTTCCAGAGAGATTTGCTGCAGATGTAAGGTGCTTTATCACAGACGTAACTGAACAGCTGGCTTTGTTCTTGTCTTGCATGGTACAAAATTGCAAATCGTGAACAGAAAAAAGGAAGGGAAGAACAGCCATGACAGGATATTGTAGCTGCGCAAGCTTTGTTGGTGGCTTTTCTTCCTGCCACAATTCTGAAGCGATTAAAAGTAAGTCTAGCCCACATAAATGAAGGCCAGATAAACACATTTTATATTAAACACCACAGAGCAATAAGTTTTCCTTTAAACTGTATCATAATTGGGAAGAACAGTATTTTATGACTGAAATCTTGTGACTATGAAAGCAGATATATGATATTAGCAGTTCACTGAGGTTTGCTAATTCTGCGCAATCACCATTATAGCAAAGGGCAAATACGATTGTCCTCTTGAGTAATAATGATAATAAAAAGAACCATACACAACCTCTTGGAAAAAAAAACTAAAAAATGAACAAAAAAGCTGTCTAAAAATTCTAGCTGCCAGTTGAATTGGGATATAGAGTGGGAATGGTAGACTGTACAAGTCTTTGCAAAACTTTCAGTTTTCATTGTTTATGGAATCAAGGAGAGTTGCTAACTGTTACGTTTGCAAAGATAATTACCCAAATACAAATTGTGATTTCCTGGTCAAATAAATGGTTATGACTATAGATTATTACAAAAACAGTAGTTCTGTCTATTTTCCCTCCCCTTGTGCCAGGTTCCTTTTTCCTCTCTTGTGCAGAAACTCGCCAGTTCTGCAGTTGCACAGGCTGACTAGACTGAACATTTACTCTGTACAAACGGTTTACTGTTGGGTTAGTTCCATCTTGCCCATCCCAGGGCAAACAGGGCGCAGGTGAGCCCTTAGATAGTGGCACTGGAGGAAGATGGAAAACTCATTCTGTCTTGGGAGTCCAGAAGTGAGCAGATTCACTGCAGATTTTGCTGGCTCTTACCAATAGCTTCCCCAAACCCTTGGGTATCCACTTCTGCTGTCGAGGGAGATACGTGCTGGAAGGTAGCTGGGAATATCTGCAGTACCTCTTTCAGGAAGCGCTGTGGTTCTGTAGGGTCAGAAAGTGTACAGTGGAACACTGAGGTACACATGTAGCAGGGCTGGAGCATAGGCAGATGAACAAAGACTGGGTGTGTGACTGCCCGTACACCAAAGGGATACTTTTTCTTGAGCTCAACTTAAAATGCTTTCATAGAATCGTAGAATCCTTAGAATTGAAAGGGACCCTTAAAGGTCATCTCTTCCAACTCCCCTGCAATGAACTGGGACATCCACAGCTAGATCAGGTTGCTCAAAGCTTGGTCCAGCCTGGCCTTGAATGTCTCTAGGGATGGGGCATCACCACATCTCTGGGCAACCTGTTCCAGTGCCTCACCACCCTCATTGTAAAAGACTTTTTTTCTTTAAGTTTGAAACCATTTCCTCTTGTCCTGTCACCGCAGACTCTGCTCAATAGTCTGTCCCCTTCTTCCTTGGAGCTCCCCTTTAGATGCTGAAAGACCGTTATCAGGTCACCTTGCAGCCTTCTCTTCTCCTGGCTGAAGAGCCCCAGCTCTCAGCCTGTCCTCATAGGAGAGGTGCTCCATCCCGTGGATCACCTTTGTGGCCCTTCTCTGCACACGCTCCAACAGGTCCGTGTCCCTCCGGTGCTGAGGACTCCACACGTGGATGCAGTCCAGGTGAGGCCTCAGCAGCGCACAGCAGAGGGGCAGGATCACCTCCCTCGACCTGCTGCTCACGCATCTTTTGATGCAACCCAGGGTATGGTTGGCTTCCTGAGCTGTGAGGGCACATTGCTGCCTCATGTCCAGCTTGCCATCCACCAGTACCCGCAGGTATTTTTCTACAGGCTGTGCTCTATCCTTCCATCCCCTGGTTTG